CCCCAAAACCCCAAAACCCCAAAACCCCAACTGATGAAATTTAGATATAATGACTTGAAATTAATTTGTAATAAATTGAAAGATTTATGTGGTTTAATCTTTATAATAGGAATTTATAATTTATAAAACTTATGATCTTTTACATTAATTTCTTCTAAGTTTTTCCAATACATGATTTATTTAACAAATTTCATTGATTATTTCTTCTCTATGGAGATTATTGAGACTAATATACAGCATCGCTATCTCTTTAATCTACTTCTATTTGCTATTATAGCTATTAGTTGTTGGCAATATTGACATCGCTTTCATCCTCATCATTGAGTCCATGCTCATCATGAATACTATCATTTAGTTGCTAACTCGGTTGAGCAATTTAAATATTAGAAGGAAGTACTATTGGCAACGGAGCAGTAGCTTGAGGAATTTAAATATTAGAAGGAAGTACTATTGGTAGCGCGGCAGAAACTACTTGTCTAGGGACATTGTATCCAACTTGCTAAACTATCACTTAATTCTATTCAGTAGGTTCAATAACAAAATTTAGTCGATTTGGGTTTTCATCATTAATAATTTCAATCAAAATATCTTGTCTGCAAGTTGGACAATCCGGCTTATCTAATTTATTTCTGACCCATTCCATCAAGCATTGATCATGGAAAATGTGCTTGCATTTTGTTTATCTCACCACAGATTCTGGCAGATACTCCTCAAAGCAAATTACACAATCTGTTTAGTTGCCCTTGTTATAAATATGCTTGAACACAAGAGTTGGCAATTCTTTGTTGATTTTTGCAATTATAATAACGAATTCCTCCTCTAGTCTTTCAATGTTTCTCTCTTATTGTCTGCCTTCGTGAATTGCTTGCCTTTGTCTAAGGTAGCTGCTCCTGCAAATATAACCTTTTATTCTCAATACAATGAGACATATACATATCAGTAGTGTTATCAGGACTCCTCCAAATACAGCGAATACCAAAATAAATGGATTGTACTATTGATCATTATAAATCTATCTTATATAGTTGAATTTCTTACTATAAGCATCTGGAACTAGATCCTCATCTTGATATGAATAACACCTGTAATCACCAACTTGATATTGATTTGGATTGCATTAAACACATTTATTAGTTTCTGGATTATAATAATACTGATAATTGCATGCTGTTATTCCAAATACAGTATCAAATGAAGTAAACATCATCATGAAGTAGTTCTCATATGAACTAATCCTTAAGCTCCCATTGTTCTAACTATTAATGAATGAGTCAATTGTAATTGTATCAAGGGTGATAAATTGATTTTTAGGGTCTAAATTCTCGTTGTAAATAATTTCAATGTAAGAGATTGAAAACAGTTACAACTATTTCACAGAGAATATTTAGAGCTACAAGCCATCAGGACTTTCAATTACTTAGAGCTATTCTCCGAAGTAAGCACCTCTCGCGGCACCTCTTATTTCAAATATGGGAGTTAGAGACGATCTCAAAAATATGTAAATGATACCTTATTGTAAGTTATAGTTAGGGCAGGATACGATTAAAAACAATTGAGTGGCTTTGAAATTCTCAGCACACTAAGCGTAAGAAGCAATCGCTGAAGATTCTTTCAATGTAAAGAAGCCATCGAACTTTTACTCAATAATCTTAGAATAAGTATTGGATGGTTATTCTAAGGTGGGTCTCTATAAGAAGTAATAAGCTTAAATTTAGTCCTGCTTAAGATCAGCAGATGCTGTGACATTAGAAGTGACATTTGCAAGCATTGCAAAAGTCTAGAAATTTGGATCGAGCACCTTGAATACATAGGCTTATTCTGATTTATTCTGCTCAGTTATTACCATCAATAGATTATCTTGGTAGAATCCACCCACAATGTTGAATGAATTTTTTATTTTTCCCTGTTGTTATAACGTTACTGCATTCACTCTATGACTCTTTTCACCGTAAACCATTAGGTAATTTTGATAAGCTACTGTTACTTCATTTCTTGATTCCACGTTTTGAATTCCTTTTTGAACTATTGAAAAATCTGCTTTTGTATAACTTTGATTCGGACTGATGAGAGCATCTTATTTAAGAATTGCTGTATAGCCATCATCACAATAGAAAGCATAGTATTGACCCATCTTTAAAGAACAACTACTGTTGTGCTTGTCTAATTAGTCAATATTCTTTGCTTGAATAGAGAAGATCTTATAGGCATTGACGTCAATGAAATTGATTAAGATCAAAACTAGAATGTATAAAGTCATTTACGCTTTTTTCCGACTTACTATATTAAAATTATATTACTTGCTTGGACTTCACATTACATTTAAATTGCATTACCTTTTTTGATCTGATGATTTAGTGAGATGGGGTTTTGGGGTTTTGGGGTTTTGGGG